TATATATATGGAGCTAAATTTTTATTTCAGCGAAACCTGTTCTTTTCGTGTACATTTTGAAACATTTTGAAAGTTACAAAATCCAATTTTTATGAAAGAGTAATAGTACATTGCACCCATGTATAATTCGATAATATTAGTACAGTAGCTGCCAAAAGTTTTCTGGCTGACGTAATTATAATAACACAAATTTTACAATAATTTTTATTGATCTGTTTTTTTTTTTACATTAAGTTAAAAGTTCTTGTTGTAATCAGCTTAAGTATATTTTAAATATTAGAATATGTCAAGTATTTATATATTAGATCTTTATTTATTTAAAGATTTTCTTTATCTAAGCAATCCAATTAATAAAATTATTCATTGGTTGGAAACTTTTAGCAGCCACTGTATATAGAATTCTGTCGGAATGTGGATAATGAGATTTTGCATGGATGAATAAATCGGTGTTTAAACAAATACATCGATCGAAACGTTTATTAATTCCACGTAACGTCCTTTTGCAATCATTGCGGCCATGCTACACGCACTAATCACGATTGGTTTCGGTTTTCATGGCGAATTGCCGGGTTGGTAAATAACCAAGTGAGCAAATATCTCGGCAGAGCATTTGTCAATACGGACTGAAATTAATAGGATGGTAATACAGATTAGATCCTATTAGAGATATATTAATTATTGATTTGTGATAACAAATTGTTTATTTTTTGTCAGCAAATTGCTGAAATTAAGAAATATTATTCGAGGACTTTGGAAAGATTGTTTAATCTTAAAATACGTGTAAGGTTTTTTAGAATAAAATAATAGATGTTAATATGACACAAAAGCTTAACTTGAATATTTCAATTTTATAGATTGGAAACTGATAAAGACCTTTTCTTTTTTTCTGTCTCTTATTATTATTTTAATATCAAATTAAAATTAAAACTCACAACGTCTAAAAGCGACGCGCATGAATTTGAATTAAAAGTCCATTTATTTATCAAAACGAATCGAATTTCTCGAACTCATCAGCAATGTTGCTCGATGCACAATATTACATTATCCTTACAGGATGGTATCGTTTTTACCATATTTTTTCCGGTATATTTATTGCGACGACGTTCCGCGACCCATTTCCGTTCTTTTCCCATCTCGATATCAGCGTACAATCGATTTCAACGTCTCGTTCTCTCTGGACGTTTACCTACTATCTGTCCGCTTTATTTATTTATTCGCACACTCGAACGGATTGCGATCACTGCTACATCGTCGTATTAATATAGGTTCAAACGATCGATTTATTTAGCCGTTGTTTATTTACTGTATGCGAATGTGTTTATTCAGCCAACTTTGTATTGCGACCAATGCGAGTAGTTGAGATCAGTGTTAGTTTACAGTTCGATCAATTATTTTAGTTGCGATTGTTTCGACATATTCCTAAATATCATCTACATGAATATTTACCAAAAATCTCGAATCTGCGAGAACTGATCTCGCAAAACTCTTAATTTATTCTAATACTTAAAATATCCTATATAGTTAAGTTGATTATAATAAGAATTTCATTAATTTGTAATATAAATTAAGAAAAACAGATTGAGAAGAACAAAAATTATTGTAAAATTATATATATATAGGTTGACCGGAAACTTTTGGCAATCACTATCTGTTGTTGGGTAAATGAATAGTTAAAAACGAACAGTTTCGTACTTCTAAGTACCATTTATTGCTCCCCTAACCTTTACATTTAAAACTAATTAGGATGCATAACACACGTAAACAATACAGTTACAAATTTATTTTCTGGAAATAGTGTGTCATCAAGTATTTGCCACTTTTCTCAGAATGTTTCACGAGCTGGATATTTCTCTAGAAATGTTGCTGCTTTTCTGCACAAACGCCGCTTCAATTTACTGCCTCAATCGTGAATCTCATTTACGGGACTCAGCATCGCGGAAAGCGGCTTACAAAAAATTTAAAGGAGCTTTAGTTTTAAAGCTGACTTCGAGATAATTTGTGTCGCGAACTACACGTTAAAGTCCACTTTAAATCTCGACTAACTTGAAATTCCTCGAGCAAAATCGTTCTCGCGTCGCCGTCCAGGAATAATCTCTTGCTTCTTTAAACCGTCGCCATGTTGCGATAGAATAATTAATCGTATGGAATAATTAATGGATTGGCTAATGGGTTTCCATTGCGTGGAATTTATGTACTCCAAAATAACGTTTGAAAATCATAATTGATATTGGTAAACAACCCGTATAATGTCGCTAAGTGCATTTCGTTCTAAGAATAAAGACAGAAATTAAGAGTAAAGAAATTAAGTAATAAAACAAAAGATAAAATATAAAGGTATATAAAAGTAACACGTTTGAGCTAAAATTATTCAATTACCATGACTGATATTAATAATATTATAAGAATTCATAAAAAAAATATTATTCACACAGATACAGAAAGGACGTACAATCTGCAAAAAATCATTAATTATCACCGTTTATCTTTGCTTGTAAATATGTACAATTAAATATTTTATTTTTATCATGTTATTTAAAGAAAAATATTATCACA